AATCCCTTCTCAATCTTTACTTCCTTGACAGTGGGGATTACTCCACAGTTCCATCCATCTTTGGCTATGGCTGGATCAAACCATCCCAGCAATTTTGGTTTCAACGCACTTCTATCAAACTTAAGGTACTAACCTCACTTTTTTAGGTGCATGGATTTGTATCAGTTCTACCATCCAGCAATACCCCCACATTCTCTTTTAGTCAACTGCTCTCTCTTTCTCTCTGTGATCAACTAACTATGGCCTCCATGATGTTACAGAAGACATTCAATAACTAAGCAGCAGATAGCTTGCTTTTAGTGAACTTCCCCCTTTGCAATATACCTTCATCAGCTCAATAGGTTTTAAGTTTGCATTATGTCATGTACTTTTGGTGGTGGTGTATAACATGAAATCCCTTCTAATTTTAAATATATTTAGGAAACAATATCGCCTCTGAACTGCAGTTAATGCATACAAATAAAAAAAATCCCCTTATAGTTGAAATATATTTAACTTGATTTCAGGTTTTAAGATTTCAATCTAATTATTAGCATTGAAAAATCAATAAACATGTATCAGAATAATCATCTTTCCTGATCTTGAAGCTGCACGGATTAGACAAACACAACAGTGAATCAAATATATAAATGTGTGAGACAATTATGTGCAATTAGTTGGCAAAGAAATAACTTGCACAACACTGTTACAACATGCACATTGATTTAGTTGATAGGTTTGATATGAATTCTGGACTTCAGATTTGAATACTGGAAGTAGGTGTCATTCTAAGTTGACTAAAGACACAACCCATGAATCAAATAAACATAGTGATTTGGGCCTTTAATTTTTTTGCCATGATTGACCTCTGTGTTTGTGTAACTTTGTTTTTGTGTGTCAGTGATGATGCTGCTGGAGGAATTTTTACCACTGCATAGCAAACTTATCACTCTTTTCAATTATTTGAACTAAAATTCTCATTATCCTTAAAGTTAATTAAGAGTGCTTCAGTTTTGCCTTAATTCTAAATAAAATTGGTGTTCCTAATGAAAGCAATAGAAATTATTACTTATCTAGGTTGCATCAATTTCTCTATTAAATTACTTCATTGACATTTCAAAATGCAGGATAATATGGTTGCCCAATCAAAGGAATCAATTAATGTGGATGCTAGTAGTCCAATTCCAGTGGATGAACAAATATTAGAGAATTATCTTGGAAAAGGAAAGGGTACTTATTTCCGCGGGTTTGGTCATGGAAAGAAGGCTCCACGAGGACGTAAGAGGAATGCATGCCAATATTGCAGAATTGGTGGCAGAATTAGAAGCTGAGAGGAGGAAGGCTGATATAGCTGAAGAAAAATGAGATGGAATGATGGAGTCCATAAATGATTTGAAGGCAACTGTGGCTAGTCTTGTGGAGAACCAAACAGAATGTCTTCTCAGCTTATGTTCACTCAATTTGGCGCGCATCGACCTCCGTTTGGTAGCCCACAGCAGCAGCAACAACCGTCAACTTATGGACTATTTGGCTGTCTATTGAATAGTCCTCAGCCACCTATGTTTGGGGCATTTGGTCATCCGTACCAACCATTTCAATCCGGGCTTCCAATACATGATCAATGATTTCAGACATTGAAGTTTAGAAACTAAGTTTTTGATAGCATTTCCTAAAAGCTAGGCACACAAATAGGTGGCAGCTGCTGCACCTCTTCCAAAGGCTGTATAAGAAAGTTAAGTGCAAGGCCAAGAAAGTTTTTTATTAGAAACTAATTTTTGGGATTACATATGATGTTTTTTGGTACTGTTTTGAGAATTGCTAGAAGTGTAATTTGAACAACCCATATATATTTTAATTAATGGTTGACATTAAATTTAGTTTGTGTAGAAGTAGATTATGAATGGATATAGCAGGTAGATTATGAATCGATGAAGCAACAGGATATGAATCGAATAATATAGCATATGCCAAAAAAAAAAAAAAAAAAAAAAAAAGTACATTATCCATCCCAAATATCAGTTTGAGATGGCATAAACATCTATCCTAAATACTCAATTGGGACAGAATAAATTTTCGTCCCTAATGCTTAATTGGGATGGAATTAAATTCCGTCCCTAATGCTCAATTGGGATAGAATAAAACTCCGTCCTAAATGCTCAATTGGGACGGAATTAAATTATGTCCCTAAGGCTCAATTGGGATGGAATTTAATTCTGTCCCTAATGCTCAATTGGGACAGATAATCAAATTTAGTCCCTAATACTCAATTGGGACGGAGTTTTATTCCGTCCCAATTAGTCTGTCCCTAAAACTCTTTTAGGACACTGCATATAGAGACGGTTACATCAGCCGTCCCAAAAAGGTATTAGGGACAGTTTGGGCACCTATAGGGACAGTTTTTTTTGTCCCTAATAGCACCATTTCTTGTAGTGTTTTCATACAATTTAACTAATACACATAATCATAGATTTCGTATATATCATTTACATCATCCTCAAGGCAATCAACTCAAAATTAAACATGTTTTGCAACAAACATTGAGAGATAATTCACAAAGGAACAAGAAAACATGAATTAAAGGCCCCTACCTCAAGATATGCAAAAAACCCCCAAATTAGTGCCCTAGATCTCGAATTTCTTAGAGTGCACCAAATAAGAAATTGCTCCGTTCAAATCGTAGATCTCGCCGTGATCTTCAATTTGTCGCAAACGGCATTCAAAAACTTTAAAAGATGAAGGAGAAATCAAGAATTGAAGCTCACTTGGAAAGAAAAAGAAAAAATGAGATGAGAATTGGGAGAGAAAGAGAGACTTACGGGAGAGGAAGAGAATTGTGAGTCTCCAATGGCCTTCTGGCCTTTAAAAGATGCTAATGGTAAGCCCCACCAAAATTAATTTATTTTCCTTTTATTTTTACACCACAATTAAATCATTTTACACACAAACTAAATATATATATGTAACCCACATAAAAAACATCAAGTAAAATGTATGAGATACAAATGGACCCAACTAAAATCCCCGTACAACAATTCTGGTAGCGGGGTACACGGGACTGTCCGGCTCGAAAAATTGAAAAATGCCGAAAGGGCAACCCTCACATTTCAAAGAGTCCCGAACTCAATGAAATGTCCCAACCAACTCTCGGATACAACCGGCACACTTCATAATGTCCGGTACGCAAAACGGCAAAAGACGGAAATGCCCTTGCAATGACAAAAATTCTGAAAAAAATGAAAAATGACGAAAAATAGAAACATCACAAGAATAATATATTTTGGACCAAATAAATCAGAAAAAAGATATCATACTCTATTCTGTATTTTGAATTTCCGTCTACTTAAATTATATGCCACTATATATGTAATAGTGCTACTAGTATGTGCTAAGCAATAAAACAATGAATCTTCATTGTTATCTTTAATTTTCAAACAGTTTTTTAAATTAAATTGTTCTTGTTTAGTCAAGTTGTTATATACAGTGGTGGTTTAATTTCTTGCAAAAATGCTTCACCAACAAGATAAATATTTAAGAGGTCACTATATTATGAACCTCTTTACTATAATCACATGCTAAGGTAGGTAGCTTGAACTTTTTTTTTTTTTTTTTTACATGACCACTACACTGATAAAAACACTTTCATCATTACAAAAAAGTTAAACAGAAACTAAATGATGCAGTAAACCTATATTGTTTTTAAATTTTCCGAACTATTCGACGTTCACGATAGATAACCGCACACGACAAAGAACATTTTAGTGTCAAAAAAATGATCACAAGCACATAATTATAGCAGAGCATGGCATCCTAAGAAAAAGAGTGATGGAGATAAGGTTTCATATTGGTGGTTCGGTAAATGATTAAATGTTTTGCATGCTTGTCTGATTTCGGATAAACCACAATTTCCACGTGTCCATTAATAAAAATGGCATTGTCACATTAATGTAACAAAATTAAATTTAGATTTTTCTCGATAATGGTGTTGTCTGCCCCCCTAACCTAGAATTATATATACTCCGTATGTAATTCACACCCATAATTTGCAAAAGTTTGTCATCTTGAAAGAATATATGCCGTCTTATTTATAAACTAAAAATTCTATACCAGCAAGGATGATTTTTATTTATGAATGTAAATTTAATGTTTAATAAATCTATAATAAATGAATTATCTACTCAAAATTGTCATCATTAAAGATGGAATGTGTTTGTTTGTGTGTGAGATTACATGCATGGTTTGGTGGGTGGGTCTTTGTGCGTGTATCACGTTTGTTATTATTAATGCATTGCACTAAAGGAACTGTCCCAACCCAAAAGGGGTTGGCCTAGAGGAAAAGACTTGGGCCTAGATCGGAACCTCAGTCAGTTTGAGGTCTCAAGTTCGATTTCTCTTAGTACGGCCCCTGAAAATTGCTATACATAATATTCCACTCTAATTATAGCTTGAAGGCAAGAGTGACATTTTGTTAAAGTAAAATGATATTTTTATTTATTTTTTTAATTAATGGTTGTAATACCAATTTGCAATACATGTTCTACTTTGTTAATTTGGTTAGAAAGAAGGGAGGGAAGAAAGATAGAAGAATGGAACATGCTTTCATCGTTTGGTTGGGAGGAAGAGAAGAGAGGAATGAAACAAGTTCACATTTTTTTCATTCATTCAAAATTGGGCAGAAGATGAAAGAAAATTTCCCAATAAATACGTAATACTATTTTTAGCCTATAATTATTTACAAAATCACTTTGTTAAAACCCTACAAATTCCTTTCCCAAAAGCCGAAGGAAGAAATGTTCACACCAAGAGAGTATATATACAGGTAAAAAATATATAAAATCTCTATTTCTCTTCTTTTCAATAAAACAAAGAAATATGTCACATTATCTATCATTAATTTCCATTATCTCTTACATTCAAACAAACAAACCAAAAAAAGTGAGGAAACACCGTCCCTTCCCTAACGATCTCATTCATCGATCCCTCCCCCTCTCTCTTTCATCTATTTATTCATCCCTCCTACAAAGCGGAGCATACGGAAAGTCTGGAACCCACCATAACCGATTGAAAAAATCCCTTAGAGTTTGAATTGAGAATACTATTCGAATTCAATCAATTGTTGTAGCTGTGATTATGAGAGAGAGAATGATGATGCTTGATCATAGGAGAAAATTATGTTGCTTTATTTGATTATGTTAGGTTCCAGTGGTATACTAAGAGCATGTAATATTGGTATATAGAGGGAGCTTAGGAGCCCATTTTAGAGTCAGAAGCAATTAATTACCAGTTAAGTATGGGAAGTGAAGGCCATATCCTCCTAAGTCTCATTGTTTTTGTTCACTCAGTGGCTCATGGCTATGCTGGTGTTCAACCCAGAGATGACTCAGAGAACAACATTCCTTTCAACCGTCACAGTTTTCCACGTGGTTTCGTATTCGGAGCAGCATCATCTGCTTACCAGGTATGTTCTTAATTAATTGAATTTCTTTACTATATATATATATATATATATATATTATATATATGTTTCATTGTAAATGTGTTTAAGTGAAACCACTTAAATACATCGTTTAACTCCCTCTTTCAGTTCTATGCCTTTGGACGAAGAATCATTATTAATTCTATACAAATTAAACCACCTCCTTTATATTATTGTTATTCAAAGAATTTTTTCTTTTTCCATTATTATTATTAATTATTGTTGTTGTTTTGTTTTGTTTCAACAGTATGAAGGTGCTTGGAATGCAAGTGGTAAAGGACTAAATAATTGGGATCACTTCACTCAGACATATCCAGGCAGAGCTCTCTCTCTCTCCCTCTAAATATACATTTATACACATGCAGTGATGAAATGATGGAAAAGAAACAACTATTCTAGGCGGAGGCATTTTGAAAGGATTAAAATATAAAAATAAAAATAAAAATAAAAATAAAAATAAAAACTATTACAGGCGGAGCAATTAATGCACTTTGAAATAATAGATTGTCCTAAAGGATTTGGAAAAAAAGGACTAGCTAAGTTCACTTTTCTGAAAAATGTTTATCAACAAATGTGAAAATTGGAAATTATGAAAAAATGTTTTTCATGTACTGTCTTTTCTGATGAAATTTTCATTTATTGAGAAAAAAAAATTGTTAACCAAAAGAATTTTTTAGCTGCATAATTTTTTATTTTTCAGTCTTTAAAAAAACTGAACCAAGTAACTTCAAAGTGATTTCATTAACTTCGGGCATTAAAACAACAACAAAACCTAGATTTTCTCTCTTTTACTGTTTCATCGTGTTGCATAGTGTGCTTTTACATTGCTTATGCAACGATTGACTACTTTTCTTTCACTGAATATGCTTTCTATTTTGGGAAATGTTGTGTTGGTGCTGTAGAAATGGTAAAGGGCAATGCTAGCGGGAAGGTTGCTGTTAACTTCTATGATCTTTACCCGGTAATATTTTGCCTGAAACAGATTTTCCTATAATTTTATTTTGTTGAATTACATGCAGGGACGGATCTAGGAATTCATATGAGGGGAGGAATTTATATGGAGCGGTTTTTTTTTATAATTTCAATGGGGACAATTTCAAAATTTTATGGGTATAAATGCAAAAAAAGTATAAATTTAGAAGTGTAAAATGTAATAATAAAAATTTTCAGTGGGACCCTCACTGAGCCCTTCACAAATCCATGCATGTTTACATGCATATTTAATAAGAAGATTTACAAATTTTACAGGAAGACTTTGAGCGAATGAATGATATCGGCTTTGATGCTGTTAGAATTTCCCTCTCTTGGTCCAGAATATTACCTAGTAAGTCACTTTAATATTTAAATCCTTTAACAAACTTCGTTAATTGATACACTTTTTTTTTTTTTTTTTTTTTTTTTTTTTTTATCACAATTCATTGATACACTTGATCTCTAATAAAATTCAAACAACAGATCCGCATTCTTTTTCCAATCTTTCCTTGCCATTGAATTGCTTCTCTTTTTTTTTCTTCTTTTTTTTTTTTTTTTTTCCCTTTGTTCTTCACTACAAGAAAATTTTGCTTTTTAACGACAAGCGAAAACACTTTCTGCCACGGTTTTGGCCTGTTATATCATTTTTTTAAAAAAAAATTAAATTATTAGAGAGCGTGCAACTTTAATATTTAAATCCACTAACATATATACTTTATAATTTATTTTGGCTTTTCATGTTCTTTTCTAATCTTAATTCGTATCCATTATGTTATTGTTATCATAATTTTCTCAAAATTTCGACAAAGAAAGAGCATAATTAATATTTTCTAATTGTTTTGATATATATTTAGGTGGCCGGGTAAATGGCGGTTCAGGAGTTAATCCTGATGGACTCAAGTACTATCACAATCTCATCGACGACACCCTATCCAAAGGTCACAAATCTATTGCCTTCTTTATCCCTTTTTTTGTTTGATTTATACTTTGTGTTGTTATAATCAATTTCAAAATAAGTATAATTCTCTAAATAAATAAGTATTTTTTATTTATTTTTTGAAAGGTGTATAATTTTTAGTACTTTTTGATCGATCAGGACTGAAGCCTTTTGTTACCTTGTTCCACTTTGATATGCCACAAGCCCTTCAAGATGAGTATGGAGGGTTTCTGGACTACAAAATTGTGTACGTAATCTTTATATATATTAGCTACCAGTATTATATATGTAGTCTCGTACTATAGTGCAGGAGCCTTGTCATTTTGTGACCTGGGAAGGATTAAATGTACGGGTGCAGTCTTACCTCCTCATGCAAATAGACTGTATATCAATGAATCTCGTGTCATAAATTAACTAAAAACTTACCATGCAATGTTTTAATTAATGTACAGGAACGATTTTGAAGATTATGCTGACCTTTGCTTCAAAGAGTTTGGTCATAAGGTGCAGTACTGGATCACCATAAATGAACCATGGTCTTACAGTGCCATGGGATATGCCTATGGTTCATTTCCACCCGGTAGATGTTCTAAGGACGAAAATTTGCAAAAATCCGAAGATTTGTATAGAGTTGGAAGAGCTTTTAAGTCGCTTTTTATAAGCTGCCCTGTGCCTGGTGATTCTGGCACTGAGCCTTACAATGTTACACATCATCTACTTCTTGCTCACGCAAAAGCAGTGCAACTTTATAGAAACAAGTACCAGGTTAGTCCAGTCTACGATGTTCCCACAGTCATTACAGAATCTGAGAATTTGAATTGTCAATTTAATCTGAATAGTAATTTGAATTAACTAGTACGATTTTCAATTTCTTTAAGATTTAATAATATGATGGTTCTAATGATGGCCATGCATGATCTTGTGTAGAGGATACAGAGTAAAATTATGGGTAAAATTGGTATTGTAAATGTTGTTCAGTGGATGCTTCCGTTCGACACTCAGTCAAAAAATGACACTGCTGCAGCCAATCGGGCCCTTGATTTCATGTATGGATGGTAAGTAGGTCCATTGCATGGTTCTCTCTCTCTCTCTCTCTCTCTCTCTACATATATATATATATATATATATATATCGGTAATTTATATAAACTATTGGTGTGAATATTGATTTTTGGTGTTTTTTTGGTTCCCCTAGGTTTATGGAACCTTTGAACAGTGGCAGCTATCCATCTTCAATGATTGAGTACGTCGGAGATCGGTTGCCGATTTTTACAAATCGTGAATCAAAAATGGTAAAAGGGTCTTCCGATTTCATAGGGTTAAATTATTATACTGCAGCTTATGCATATCATGTTCCTTGCAAAAAAATTCCAAGCTACTTGACGGATTCTTGCTCAAGTCTTATGGGTAGGTTTTATCTAATCGATCCATTTCTATGCTACAAATATGTTTATTTCATGTTATTGACACTAATTTTATGTTGTGACGTAAGAGGTAAACGCAACTGGATACCAAATTGGTCCAAAGGTAAACGTCTACGAAGTACATTATTGTGTATCATATATTTAAAATAAAATCCCTAGAATAAATGTCTCTAAGCAAAATAATAATAAGAATGTTTTCCATGTTAATCCATCTAAGCAAAGTAATTTAATTAGGATTTAGGATTCAGTTATTTATATTCAGAGTTAAAATATTCACTTATATATTTTAATTGATTTTTCAGGCAGGTTCAGACTGGCTCTATGTTTATCCGGAAGGACTTGGAGATCTTTTGAACTACACAAAGAATCAATATAACAATCCCAAAATCTATGTCACTGAAAATGGTAAAATTCTTATGAGATTTTTTTTTTCTCCGGCATGTATAATGTTTATAATATATATATATATATATATATAGATATATGTAATATATGCCATTTTTTTTTTCTCTTATATATAATGTTTATAATATATTTGTTCTGTGTGCCATAGTTTGCATATATAGCATATGGTAGTCATATAGTATGCATTTCTACTCTTACATATTAATATTTTTCATATATATTGTCTGACCATTCTTTGCAGGAGTGGACTTAATTAATGGGTACAATATTCAACATGATTCCATGAGAATAAAGTACCATAACGATCATCTTCATGTCCTCCGTGATGTCATGTTAGTATTTTACATATTTTTAAAGTTTCAAAACAACCCATTTTCTTTTTTAATTAATATTTTCCCCCATAAATACAAATCTATGAATATTTATATTTGAATTTTGACAGGAAGAGAACCGGAGTGAATGTGAACGGATATTTTGTATGGTCATTCCTGGATAATTTTGAATGGACCGAGGGTTACACAGTCCGTTTTGGTCTTGTTTACGTGAATTATTTCAACAAGACGTTGTTTAGATTTTCTAAAGATTCAGCCTCATGGTTCTCCAATTTTCTGAAAAATGGAGCAGAAACCCTTCCTAAGATCCCTGACACGGGGCTTGCATTGGGTTCTATGTCTGTGCACCAAAATGGCATCATCTAATGCATAGAACAGGGTTTGGATCCACTTCCATGATGGAGTAGTATATTAACCAATAAACCTAAAAGAATATATATATATATATATATATATATATATATATATATATACTCTATTTTGTATTTTAAATTTCCATCTGCTTAAATTATGTGCACTTTGTATGTGATTATGTGCACTATGTATGTGATTATGCTTCAATGTGTGTGCTACTATTATGTGCAAAGCAATAATAGAATGAATCGTCATTGTTATTGTTTTTTTATGCAACTGCATCTCTTCATTTCAAACAGTTTCGAAATAATCCACACGTGGATCTGACTTGCATCTATATACAAGACACAGTCTGCAAATACCCACCATTTACTGTTAAGAGGGGCCGTTAATTGCGGTTATTAACTTGTAGTTTGGTCCTGGGCTGTCCCAAGTTTTGGGCCCAATTTTGGGGTTCTTTTTTTTTGGTCCCTCTTTGGGCTGTTTTTGGCCTGTAAAAATATAATGTGTGTATATATATAATTAATTTTTTATAAAATATAATTATATTATGCATATTAGAATTTGATTCTATGTACCTGACAACATGACGTGACCATGTTCCCCCCTCCCCCCTCTCTCTATATATAATAATAATTTAGGCTTTATCCAGCTTCAACTGGTACAATTTTCTGAGACTCGAAATCTATGCATAATAATTTAAGCTTGGTTTCTTCTTAGCCAGACTTGGATAATACTTTCGTTGAAGTCTTCATGGTTCACCTGGAAAACACCAGATGAATGCTTGTATTAGTAAAAAGAGAGAAAAAAATATGTGCCCAAACGCTAACTCCAAGTTTTCAAAATATATTCACACAAGTGATGTTAGATGTGTAGTTAGCTATATAACATGAAAACTACACAAAAAATCCATGGTGCTTCAAATTTTTAAATGCTCCTATCACATGTGAAACTTCATGCTCGCAGACTGTTGAGATCATACTTCCTGAATAAAGTGAAGTTTATACCAAAAAAAACAAAAAACACTCAGCCAATTGGTTCAAAAAGTGTCTAGCAGAATAGTATATTTCGGACCAAATAAATCAGAAAAGAGATATCATACTCTATTCTGTATTTTAAATTTCCGTCTACTTAAATTATATGCCACCATATATGTTATAGTGCTACTAGCATGTGCTAAGCAATAAAACAATGAATCTTCATTATTATCTTTAATTTTCAAAAAGTTTTTTGATAATTAAATTGTTCTTTTTTTTTTCTTTTTTCTTTTTTTTGTTAAATGGGTGAGCTTTTAAAAAAAGAAAAAAAAAAAAAAAAAAAAAAAAAAAAAAAAAAAACTTTACAACAAAGACCACAAGAACAACAATTAAATTGTTCTTGTTTAGTCAATTTGTTATATACAGTGGTGGTTTAATTTCTTGCAAAAATGCTTCACGAAGAAGATAAATATTTAAGAGGTCACCATATTATGAACCTCTTTACTATAGTCACATGCTAAGGTAGCTAGCTTGAACTATTTTTTTTTGCATGACGACTATAGTATTGATAAATACACTTTCATCATTATGAAAAATTAAACAGAAACTAAAAGATGCCGGTAAACCTATATTGCTTTTAAAATTTCCGAACTATTCGACGTTCATGATAACCGCACATTTCAGAAACATGTCAACTGTACCCCATACACAACAAAGAACATCTTAGTGTCAAAAAAGATGATCACAAGCACATAATTATAGCAGAGCATTTTGGTGGTTCAGTAAATGATTAAATGCTTTGCAGGCTTTGTCTGATTTCGGATCCACCACAATTTCCAAGTGGCCATTAATAAAAATGCCATGGTCACATTAACTAACCAAAATTAAATTTAGATTCTTTTCGATAATGGTGTTGTCAGCCCCCTAAACCTAGAATTCTACTCCGTATGTAATTCACACACATAATTTGCAAAAGTTTGTCATCTTGAAAGAATGTGTGGTCTTATTTATAAACTAAAAATTCTATACAAGAAAGGATGATTTTTATTTATGAATGTAAATTTAATGTTTAATAAATCTATAATAAATGAATTATGCTCTCAAAATATATTGTCATCATTAAAGATGGAATGTGTTTGTTTGTGTGTGATTACACGCGTGGTTTGGTGGGCGGGTCTTTGGGTGTGTATCACATTTGTTATTATTACTGCATAGCACTAAAGGAAATTGGGACCTGAAAATTGCTATACATAATATTCCACTCTAATTATATCTTGAAGGCAATACTGACATTTTGTTAAAACGAAATGTTTATTTATTTTTTAATTAATGGTTATAATTCCAATTTGTCCCACATCGAATCCGGATAGAAAATGATTAGGTATAAATGGGTGAATATGCAGCACTACCAATAGTATTTTTGGGTAAATAGGCAAGCTCACACCCGTTACAGTTGGTATCAAATTTAGTTTCCAGCCGTGCACTGGCGAGCTACCATACTTGGAAACAGTTTCCATATAAACATCATTTCTCACCTCGGTAAATATTCATTGCTCATTGAATTAACTAAACTCAACCACCATTTTCAATTTTGCTCTATACAAATTCTGTCCAAATCCATAACTATCGATCAACAACCTTTTATATCAATGACTATATAACACTATATCCTGTCCAAAATGCTTGCCTGATAATTCTCCTTGATTGAAAAACATTCGAGTTATAATCTCTCTGCAACTTATCATTTGCAAAAACAATGAATCATATCTCATAAAACCCTCCTGTTCTGTACTAAATCTCGCTTGATAATCATTTGGTTAGAGAAAATAGGTAATGTACCTTAATAGTAGACTTATAACGTGACACTATCGTCAATATCCATTTCTCTAAAAAATTCAATTTCAAAATTGTTATAATAATTGAATCCCACTATCCTAATCATATAACACAAACACTCTCCAATAATAACTGAAAAGCTACCACGTCTATAATACATCTATACGGACCTAACAACATGATAAATTTAAAGTTCCACTATCCTAATCATATAATACGGATGGACACTTTTAACCACTAAACCACGTACATATACAAAAATATATATATATATATATATATATATATATGTATGACTATACGTACAAAAATTCGGGATGTTATGGTGGGTGGGTATTTGGGCATGTATCACAAATGTTATTATTACTACTTTGCACTAAAGGAAATTGGGACCTGAAAATTGCTATACATAATATTCCACTTTAATTATAGCTTGAAGGCAATAGTGACATTTTGTTAAAGCGAAATGACATTTTTATTTATTTATTAATTAATGGTTGTAATACCAATTTGCAATACATGTTCTGCTTTGTTAATTTGGTTAGAAGGAATGGAGGGAAGGAAGGTAAAAGAATGGAACATGCTTTCATCCTTTGGTTGGGAGGAGGAGAAGAAAGGAATGAAACAAGTTCACAATTTTTTCATCCGTTCAAAATTGGGTTGGAGAGAGGTGGGATGAAAGAAAATTTCCCAATAAATATGTAATACTATTTTTAGCATATAATTATTTACAAAATCACTTTGTTAAAACCCTACAAATTCATTTCCCAAAAAGTGAAGGGAGAAATGCTGACACCAATGAGAGTATATATACTGGTAAAAAATATATATAAAATCCCTATTTCCCCTTCTTTCAACCAAACAAAGAAATATGTCACATTATCTATATATCATTTTCATTATCTCTTACATTCAAACAAACAAACAAAAAAAAAAGTGAAGAAACACAATCCCTTAATTCCCTAACAATCTCATTCATCGATCCCTCCCCCTCTCTCTTTCATCCATTTATTTATCCCTCCTACAAAACGGAGCATACGGGAAGTCTGGAACCCACCATAACGGATTGAAAAAATCCCTTGAGTTTGAATTGAGAATACTTTTTGAATTCAATCAATTGTTGTAGCTGTGATTATAAGAGAGAGAATCAGGATGCTTGATCATAGGAGAAAGTTATGTTGCTTTATTTGATTATGGTTGGTTCTAGTGGTATACTAAGAGCATGTAACATTGGTATAAAAAGGGAGCTTAGGAGCCCATTTTAGAGTCACAAGCAATTAACCAAGTATGGGAAGTGAAGGCCATGTCCTCCTAATTCTCATTGTTTTTGTTCACTCAGTGGCTCATGGCTATGCTGGTGTTCAACCCAGAGATGACTCAGAGAACAACTTTCCTTTCAACCGTCACAATTTTTCAAGTCGTTTCGTATTCGGAGCAGCATCATCTGCTTACCAGGTATGTTCTTAATTAATTAAATTTCTTTACTATATATATTTAAAAGTAATATATGTTTCATTGTCAGAAGACAGTGTAAATATGGTGAATGTGTTTAAGTGAAACCACTTAAATACATCTAAAGGACAAGCTCGTTTGACTCCCTCTTTCAGTTCTATGCCTTTGGACGAAGAATCATTATTAATTCTATACAAATTAAACCACCTCCTTTATATTATTGTTATTCAAAGAATTTTTTCTTTTTGCCATTATTATTATTAATTATTGTTGTTGTTTTGTTTTGTTTCAACAGTATGAAGGTGCTTGGAATGTAAGTGGTAAAGGACCAAATAATTGGGATAACTTCACTCAGACATATCCAGGCAGAGCTCTCTCTCTCTCTCTCCCCCTCTAAATATACATGTATACACATATATAGAGGAATCCTTCATTTTTATTAGAACAGTAACAGAAAGTATATTATTTGTGTTATTTACCCAAAAAAATAAAAAAGAAGAAGAAGAAGAAGCAGAAGAGAGAAAATATATTATTATAGTCCAAACTATGAGAAACGACTTGGGTGCCCTTTAGTTACTTTGCATGTCATGATATTACATGCAGTGATTAAATGATGGGGAAAAAAAAAAAACAACTATTCTAGGCGGAGGCATTTTGAAAGGATTTGGAAAGGAAAAAAAAAAAACTATTATAGGCGGAGCAATGCAGTTTGAAATAATAGATTGTCGTAAAGGATTTAAAAAAAAAAGGACTAGCTAAGTTCACTTTTTCGAAAAATGTTTATCAACAGATGTGAAAATTGAAAATTATTTTTTTAAAAAAAATCCATGTACAGTCTTTTATGATAAAATTTTCATTTATTGAGAAAAAAATTTGTTAACCAAAAGAATTTTTTAGCTGCATAATTTTTTATTTTTCAGTATCTTAAAAAACTGAACCAAGTAACTTCAAAATGATTTCATTTTCTTCAGGCACTAAAACA